CACTGTCTTATGTCAGGAATAAGAGAAAAAGAAGACAAGGGCATCAGACATTGAAACCACCAAGATTAAATTCACCCAGGTTTACTTGTGAATGACTTCAGGTGCCAGGGTATCAGGAAAGCACCCTAAATTGGAAGAGTTGAATCCGATTCTTCTCATTTCCAAACTTCACGAGAGTTTCTGAAAAGGTGAAATATTACTTTTAAGTCCTGCCACTTGGAAAGTGATTTATTTTTCAATGTTAAACTACACCAAAAAAAAAAAAAAGTTTTTCTGATGCAATTTCCATTTTCTTGCTTTGGCTATAATATTTAAAGACAAATTTTAAAAGTCACTTTCTTTGCGTAATAGGCATGATTTTTCTCCCACTACTGTTTTTTTTTTTTTTTCTTGAATGAAAATGGTTATCATGCTGTCATTTGAAGCTTTGCAAGGTGGGATGCAAATTAAGAGAGTTAAAGTTGCAAATGGCTGGCTGTTGTCTTCAGCTTGCGGGTAGGATAGGGTGAGTGGGGATAGCCCATTGTCTGGCCTTGCCTTCACCTCCCTAGGTCTGAGTGCTGCATACAGAATGTTTTAGTCAGTTTTTTTTGCTGCTGTGACTAAAGGATCTGATCAGAACAATTTTAGGGGAGAAAAGCCTATTTTAGGGCTCACAGTTTCAGAGGTCTTTGCCCATAGAAGGTGGGCTCCATTCCTTGGGGCTTGATGTGAGGCAGAACATCATAGCAGAAGAGTGTGGCAGAGGGAAGCAGCTCACATCATGATCAGGAAGCAGACAGGTACTCCACTTGCCAGGTACTTAAGCCCAAAGTCACACCCCAATTCCCACCTCCTCCAGCCACACCCTACCACTTCAGTGACCTCTCAGTTAATCCCTATGAGGGGATTAATTACTGATTGGATTAAGACTCTTACAACCCACTCATTTCTCCTCTGAACCTTCTTGCATTGTCTCACATGTGAGCTTTTGGAGGACACCTCACATCCAAACCATAATACTGAGCCTCCAAAAATAACTCAGACCCTGGGGCTAGATGTCTGTGTGAACAGGGGCTGGTTTGAAATGGAAACTTCTCAAGATGAGAACTTTCTGGGCCACATAGTCTGGCCCCCTAAAGAAAAAGGAGCCTGGGCACTTGAACCTTCTGAACCAAACATCCAGTAAGGAGCTCTTGCTAGGCCCACAGGAAAACCAGGTGATCTTGTCAGCTTCCTTCATCCAGGTGGTATCTGTACTAGTACCTAAGCGAGTACCCTGATCATTAGAATTTATGGTGCTCTGAGAGTTTACAAGATGTTAGAACCACCTATGTATTACAGTGTGCAGAAGAGAGAACTGTTGATTTTTGTGGCTTTCCAGCTCTGCAGGTGGAAAGGCTTCCCAGCTTAGAGCCCACTCTGATCACTCTAGTCCTAAGGCACAGACAGCTGTGGATCTGGGGGCTCTGGACTCTGGGGCCTACTCATTCCTGAGACTGGGGCAGAGTTTTACTCACATGCTTTAAAACTGGAGCTAGTGGGCTGGGGATATAGCTCAGTTGGTAGAGTGCTTGTCTTGCATGCACAAGGCCCTGGGTTTAATCCCCAGAACTGCCAAAAACAACAACAATAACAACAACAACAACAAAACCGAGCTAGCAAAGGCCAGAGAGAAGCACTGCTTTCTTCCTAAGTCTCCTGTTTTTATCTTTTTAAAAATATTTAATTTTTTTTTGTAGTTGTAGATGGACAGAATGCCTTTATTTTCTTTATTTGTATGTGATGCTAAGGATCGAACCCGTGCCTCACACATGCTAAGCAAGTGCTCTGCCACTGAGCTCCAGCCCCAACCCCCTTGCTTTTATCTTAATGTACAGCTTCATTGCTATTCCCGTTTGCTCTGATCTGAGGACATTTTTGTGGTGGGTCTAGCCCTCTTTATGTTATTATTAGGTGCTAACCACAGAAATTTGCTTTTCCAATGGACCAATTTCAGTATAAAGCAGCATATCTACCTCAGCCACACTGTTAGGTCAGGGGCACTTAAACTTGAGTATGCCTCAGAATTAGAATGTGCACTCCCAAGACCACCCCAGCGAAACTCAGGAGAGCCGAGTTGGGTTCAGGAATCTATATTTATACATGAACCATAGCCAATTCCCTTGCAGATGAGCCCAGGACCCACTTTGAGAAACTGGGTGGCATGAGACAACCAGGTCATGGGTGACAGTATCTGGGCTGGAGGATTTTTGGCTTTTGATTGCTTGAGGTCCCTGTGCTCTGGTGTTCAGAGGGTCAGTCAGCCTGCACCACAGGTAGGCAGGCAGGCTACAGTAAGTATCTGCACAGGGGTGCCCTGTCCCCTAGATTTGCACCCCCAGACTCTGTGGTTGTTCCTATTTATCCTGGGCTAATCTCCCTCTGCACCCAGTTTAATGGATTCTACAGATAAAATGAGGATTAGCTAGGAGGAAGGGAAAAGGTGCTGACAGTGTAGTCCAAGAACCCGGTGCTGGGCTTCACACAGGGAGCTGTAACATCAGCCCCATAGAAACACTGGGGCAGGCACTAGGGCACCATTTTCCAGCTGAGGAAATGAAGGCTGGAGGATCACACAGCTGGAAGTGGAAGATCCTTTTTTTTTGTCAATTCGGGTATGTCAACTTAAAGGTCTTCTTCTTTTCTTCTCTTTTATATTTTTGTGGGTGGGGGAGGATAGGTGCATTGAAAATGTTTTCTTTCAACTTTATTTTGAAAAACTACAGAAAAGTTGTAGAATAGTACAATGAACTCCACTGACCCCTTTAATTGTTCTCATTTGGCCACCTCTGCCCTCTCTCTCTCTTTCTTGTGTCCGTCTACCTTATCTGCCTGTCTAATTTTGCAAACCCATTGGAGAATTATTTGGAAATATTTTATCAATTTACTAATAAATATTTCAGTTTATTTCAAAAGAGCCATAACATTCTTTCAGAAAAAAACAATAAAAAGATTAGGAAACTTAACATGAATGCATTACTATTTAGCTATTATCTGATTTATTTTCCCAATTTTTTTTACAAAATTCAAACAAAATTTATACAAATTAAATACAAAATATTTTTTACAAAATTTATAATGTGTGTGTATGTGTGTATATATACACATGTATATTTATTTATTCAGGAGCAAACTCAGAATTACTGTATTTACCTGTCTTGTCACTCTCTTTTATTTATCCATTTTTTAAAAGTATTTTTATTAGTTCTTGATGAATCTTTATTTTATTTATTTATTTATATGCAGTGCTGAGGATCAAACCGAGAGCCTCACACATGCTAGGCAAGTGCTCTACCTCTGAGCCATACCCCCAGCCCTATTTATCTGTTTTTGAGATGGGCTCTCATTATGTTGCCCAGGCCTCAACTTCCTGGGCTCAGATGATCCTCTTGCCTCAACCACCTGAGTAGCTGAGACCACAGGCGAGTGCCATGATGCCCAGCTCAACACGGACAAATTTTAATTTTGAGAATACCCCTCAATCTGGATTTGTTTCTTCATGATTGTGTTCTTAGGACTTTATAGGAGAGGGGCAGAGTCTTTGCTGTTCTGTCTCTCACCAGCTTAACATCAATTTTGGCCCTTTATATTGTTCAAAGGACCAATGATTGGAAGAAAAAGGAACATAGATTAGTGGAATGAATATAAACTGTGAAAACAAACCGAAGCAAGTTGGAGTCTGGCTCTGGCCTCTGGCTGATTGCCCTTGAGCATTTCAATTAATGCTGCTAAACTCTGTTTTTCTCCTTTGTAAATGTAGATGATGTTGGTCTTGCAGGATTGTAGCTAATGTGGAGAACCTAGCAGATCGGCTGATGTATGATTAATTGTAGCTTTGTAAGCAGCCGCTATTGTTGAGCCACATGCAATACACAAAACTGTCCTATTCTTCTAACAGCGCTCAGGTGCATCTTTTCTGTGCTTCCATTCCTCCCATTCTAGGGCAGGTCTATTGACCCTGCCTCCTTTCCATTGCCCACATCTGTTTCTGTCCCATACACTCTAGCATGGGTTGCCCCAGAGTGTAGCCCTTGTCACCATATTCTCTTGACTTCCTTTTCCCCCAGCACTCCAAATCTGACAGCCAATGGGAAGTGTGGTTGCTCTTGATTTGACCCCTGGAGCATTCCTCCCTTCTTCTCCCATTAGAGTGACAGACCCCTCCCTTTTGTCTACCCTGAGGTGTCTGCATTTATCAGTTAGTGCGTGGTCACAGTCACAGAGAGAAACCATTCAGGTATTTCAAATGGGAAAGAATTTAATGAAGTCAAGGTGCTTGCAAAATCTGGTCAAAGGTCAAAGGAAAGTCTGGGCATAAAAAGGTCAAGGAAGGCCACCAGCTTTTCAGTAGCTTTCACAGATAAAAACTTGAAGGAACTCAGGAAGCCACTAGGGATGATCCTCCGTTTCCTCTAGTCCTGAGGCCTGAAGTTTTCAGGAAAGTCCCTAGGGGCTGCTGCAAAATGTCCTGTCTCCCTAAGGCCCACAGATTGCCTCTGCCAGGGAGCAAAAAATCTGACTTCTGCCTGCCTGATCTTGCCAAGTGTTTCCCATTGATGTTTTAGTAGACAGGGATTCTGGGGTATGCACTTCCTAGGCTTCTGGTGTGTGGAATCCAGGGGAGAGTATAGGTGGGGTGCTGGGCCAATGAAAGCTTCCATTGGGCCTCTTTTTTTTTTTAAAATAGTATTGGGGATTGAACCCAGGGGTGTTTAACCACTAAGCAACATCCCCAGCCCTTTTTAATATTTTATTTAGAGGCAGGGTCTCACTGAGTTGCACAGGGGCTTGCTAAGTTGCTGAGGCTGGCTTTGAACTCAGAATTCTCCTGCCTTAGCGCCACCCCCCCCCCCCCCCCCCCCCCCCCCCCCCCCGTCACGAGCAGCTTCTCAGCCTTGTCTGGTTACCAGGAGTTCCCTTCCGGATATCTGCACTGGACCCCGGACCGCGACGTACGCGAACACCAAGCACGAACTCGATTGCCTTTTGAAATGCTGGTTTATTCGCACACCACACAAAGCAATACACGAGGTGGCTGGCTCACACTGCACGATCTTACTCTCAGGCGATGAGAGTTGATTGTGAGCAAATACATGGAGTTTCCCTCGCGCTTATATACTCTATATGTTTACAACAAACTTGTTTGTGTCTAACTTATCTAACATAAGCACACTACCTAGTTACATCATCAACTTATCTAACATGGGCATACTATCTAGTCATCCTATAACCAAAAACATGTTTACAACTAAAAAGTCACTTAGTCACTGCAAAGTCCAAAACAAGTCCAAAACAAGTCCTTTTGCTGATTCATGTTGTTTGTTCATCCTTGATGTTTACTCCTGTCATTCCACCCCCTTGATACGGAGGCGCCGATGGTACTGATGGTGCCGATGTATCAAAGCGACAAGTACGGTCCCCTGTCTTAGGTCGTCCATTCGGAAGTTGCCCGTCCTCGGGGAAACGTATGGGCTGTCGCGGCCCTGCAAACCAATCTTCAGATTGGAAGATGCAATCCACGGCATCCATGCAGCCACCGACCACACAGGAGTGCAGAAAAGGCTGAAGCATAGCACGAAACTCACAGCAGAAGGGAGCTTTCACTCTTGGAACGAAAAGTTGTTTCAATCGTAAATAAATGTCCAAATCCAAATCCTTTACTAGATCCAAATCTATCACCAAATTGTGAACTATCATAAATGGATAATTAACATCTTTTTCAGAGAACATCGGAATTGGAGTCATCCGGTCCTTCCTGAATAATAGGTCGTTCCTCAGCTTGCGTCCTAATATCCGTTTGATGATTATCTGGTCCACAGACATAGTTCCTCAAGAAATTCTACAATATTAACCAATCTTAGGTAAGTGTTGATGACAATCCACATAAGTCCATAATTTAATAAAGTAAGGCTTACAAATGTTTCTTAAACATATGTCAAATAAAGATCTAGGAACATATGTATTCCTTTGTCTGCATTGCGAATTGATTCTACACAATACAGCATCACCAAATAATAATGATCTATTATAGTTAAGTGAAATAAGTCCATTAACATAAAAAGTACCTGCATTAGAGTGTAAGGTTAATAAATCATGATCAGACTTCATCACTTCAGTGAACAATCCAAATAAAGTCTTAACACACAAATGTATATTATATCTACAATAAACATCACAATGCAAATTATTATCAGAAATACAATTCCAAACATGATTCAAAAACACACACAAAGAGGGCACTTGGCCTTCCAAGGTCCTATCCAGTGGACACCATGGTCCACTGCGTAAGGTTACTAGTCTACATAAAAGAGAAAAACGTTCCTGCCCAAACAGTGTATATGCACTATATAAAAACCATGTATTTACATGAAATTCGATGCAAAGATGACAATTTGCATAGTGCAACTGTTCAGAATAATTCCTCGATCTTTCCGTCCTTCTCCTTCTTGGATTTGATGTTCTTAGTGCCTTTCGCTTCATGGTCCCTGTAATGTTGAAGTTTATCCATTTTAATGTAAGTTTTCTTTCCTGCAGACTTATTGATCTTTAAACAAACCTTAATACATAATACAAATAATACAAAACAACATACATATAGCAATCCTTCCTTAAGCCAATGGAAAGGGTTCCATCTCATAATGCAACTAACATCTGCATGAACCAATTTTCTAAAGAAACCTACAAAACTACAATCATAAGTATACTGAAAGTCACGCGGAATCAAGTATCCGGAATCAACCAACATTTTAACTTTATGAGTTTCTCCTGAGAATCTTTGGAGAAGTTCAGTAGTTTGATTATGTACTGTCTCAATTTCCTTTCCCAATGAAGCATAAATGGACTTAGCTGCCTCCGTCGCCTTCATCATATGTTTATATTCTTCCGACAGAGGTGGCTGGGGCACAAAAGTATGTAACCCAAAAGTATGATTAGACAAATAAACCACCTGAGTCAGGACTCGTACATTTCTCGTGTTAGTAAAATTCAAACTCCTAAACAGATGTTTCTGAACGGTCAAATTCATATGTTCCATCATCATGACATTAGTATGTATATGGCAACCAGCATTCAGACTCAAAGAATCACTATAAGAAATGTTTTGCCATCGTTGAACCATGTACGGTTCAGGATAACAAGACAACATATTAAAATTCCCAAGATCTAACAAAGTAGCCTGAGGCATAGATATAGTTATATCAGAAGTCCTAGGTTCATCTGAGAAAAGATCATAGGCTATAACAGTTGTTTTACCTATCGCATAAGTGGCTTCACTAGGCACATAATATGACATATTGTTCCATTTCAACCAATAAAACTTATCAAATGGTATTATCCAATCTTTACCAATTTTCTTTGGTATAGCCTTAGTTGGATATCCTATTACAACCTTAGATGTCGACATTTGCCATAAATTAATCATGCAAACACCAGTTTCACACCAAGAGTCCTTTGTAGGATCTAATATGGTTATAGCTGATGCAGTTTCCATGCCTATGCCAGTTCTAAATAACAGTCTTATTTCTTCTAATCCCGCGGTGATCATTGCCTGCAGATGTTCACACTCCTGAGTTGCCTCCAATTGTTTCATGCGTACATTCCACGATGCATCCATAGTCTCGATCACCTTACTTAATGAATCAACATGATGTTTCAAAAGTTCCTGTTCTGCAGAAAGTCTTTCCATAAGCAAGGACGCGGAGTGCAGATTTTTAGATAATTGTGAGATAACAAAGTTCTGTTTATTCTGAAGTCCACGCAGAGCTGAAATTTCCACTCGAAGTTCCTCCGTCATTGCTCCAGCGATTGCTGCCCCCAAAGCTGCTCCGGCCAGGAAAGCGCCAATCGCTGCGAACTGCAAAGGTCTCCGTCCTGCTGCATTTCTTTGAACTGAATAAAACAAATCTGGCAACACAGTAGACTCAAAAGAAGGACATACAGTTTCACCTTTCAACAAATCACTAACAGACAATCGTAACACAATTGGCTGTACTTGTGGTTGTATCAAAAATCTAACTGGCTGATGTAGTAAAGGTAAAAATCCTGGAGCCTCTAAAGTCTTCATAAAATTACCGTCCTTTTCCTTGCGTGGGAAGAGGACCGCTCTTGGGAAATGGGCAGTAACCCATCCCTTGGTTTCATTAAATCCTCCTCTATCAATTAAGCAAGGATTCAAAGAGGTCGGTTCCATGTAGCATTTCTGCATATCCATCTTTGTACTATATATAATATGATTACCTGCATGTGCATCAAACACATCAGTATTATTATGTAAAACATCATGTGTTACAATATCATAAAGATTCCATTCATTTTCACTTCCTGGTAATAACATATACCAGTAATAAGGTAATTTTCCTGGATATATTTTACTAGGCCAAGTAGAGAAATCCATTCCTTGTGTCAACCACCATTTCAGAGTTCTTCTATCTGCTACATCCACATGGTATCTAATTATAGTATCCCAGAGCTGTGCTCTAGGGCACCCAGTCTTCAATGACCAGTAGTCATCAGCATTTACCAGGTAAGTTTCTGTTTTGTAATTCACTAAAGTAACTTCATCCAAATCTGGTGGTACAAATGCAAGAGAATATACTGTTGGATGTAAAGTATAATCCCTCGTTTGTTTTTCCTCATTGCCTAATACAACATTACCACCTTCATAATGTTTGGAAACATTTCCAGTTATATTTACATCAAGAGGAATATCATAGTACGTGGAATCATTATGCATAATAGACCTATGAATACCAATCACATATTGCCATGAATGTGGAAACCATCTGCAAATAGATCTTTCCATAGCTAAACTAACATTTTTAGTGTCCACATAATTAGAATCAACTCCCATCGGGATTGACATATTATGGACATTCACTCTGATTTTGTCATCACTCAAATTAAACACGGGAATCAAAGTCCCAAAGAAATTATCATAAAACTTAAAGGTACAGTCTTCGCATTTATAATAAGGCCACTTTGAAGATTCTCCTTTGGATCCATTATAAGTATAATCTACCTGCAGAAATGTAACATTATAAAAGTGTTTTTCCAAAATATCCTTAGGTGTGACAACCAATACAGGTTGCCAGGACTGATTATCAAACCTATGCCACGTATTATTCACCTCAAGATGCATATGAGAGGCATTCAAATATACAGCATGAAGAGGATTCTGTACACAATTTTGTCTGCTAAAATTATAACACCATGTCCAATTAAATATATTATAATATTGTGTGTAGTTTTTCCACACTGTCTGGTTAACAATGTATTCGTCCACGGTGAATTTATAATCATGTAACCCTGGACTATGCACTCTCTGTCCCAATTTCGGGCCATCCACAATCTCTGAGAGGTCCCATTCATTGTTGGCATTTTTAAAGACATACCTCCTTGTTTTGTTTTCAAATAATAGCCATCCAGAGTGATTAAACATTCCAAATTCAGGATGTAATACCCCAGTCGTCCTGTAAACTGGACCCAGCCTACAGGCCTGTGTGTGAATCTTATAAGTTACAGATGAATAATTACCAATTTTATAATAATATCTATATTGGCACCACTTAAGGAAGGTTGAATCAACAGGGAAGCAAACTCTACCAATAAATGCTTGTCCCTGTGTTCGGTTAAGCATATCTCCAAAAATGCTACGGATACAAACATACCCGATTTTATCCTTTATTTTAGGAGGCGTGGCCACGGGTTTAACCAAGTTATGGGTAAATGGCTGTGGTAAAGGGTCGGTCAACACAACAGGTGATCGCCAAGTGGCGGTACCTAAGGTATTGACTTTCCACCAATTATCTATAGTAAGATAAGATTGGTTCCGTATTTCTAAGGATCTATCAGGATTCTGTAGAATCTCGAACTTTCCATATATAGGTAAATTAGGAAAATCCGCTACACAAGATACATAATGGGTATAATTCAAATGAGTTCTGCTTTGCACATCTTCAATATATATAGACATATTCCTTTGTTTAGTGCTCATGGAATCTAGATACTGCTGTAACTCTTTTGGACACCATGTCCCGTAGGGTTCAACTAAAACTTGCGGCCATCTAGGCAATGGCCTAGCTCCTTGTAAATGTCTAGGCAATCCTTTCCACTCATCCAACATTTTCTTAGAATCATTATATGGCAACAAATTTATCCCCAACGTAGTTGTTCGTGGGGTTGTAGTTGTAAATTCATCAGAACCTTCTTCCTCTCCATCATCATATGAAGAATAGTCATATTCTTCATATTCATAATCGAATAAATTATAATCATTCTGTTTGTTGGACACCCAAACCTGAAAAGGCAGTGATGCAACATCCTTTTCTGCTGCTTCTATACATGTAAAGTCATTCTCTTCTGTAGACTCCTCAAAAGTATATACAGTAAGGTTTGGATTATTAAGCACTGCTGCTGTAGCATTATAGCTCTTAACTAAAGGTTTGCCTCCAAGTTTCCTATAATAATACACAAAATGTGGCTTATAAGACCACATATCCATAATCCCAGGTACCAGGTGACATCGGAGGGGGTTAGTTTCATATTTATTAGAATATCCTCCATCCGCACTAGATCTAAACATTGGGCTATATACCCCAACTGTATTGATGTCCCAAAAATGGTCACACCCCTTAGGTGCGGAGTATTTGTTATAATGGTGGCAAAATGCATAATTATGATAAAACAAGTATCTAATAGCAGTAAAATTTTGTAGGAATTTGTTACTTCTCCAATATTGTGGTATTACTGCACAAGAATTATTACACTCTTGAAGTGAATGAGTGAAATTAATATAATTGAAGATCCAATCTTTGTAAGAATGCTTGGTCAGGTTAATGTTCCTGATACCAAAATAATATGGAGTTGTAGTAGTAAAAGTAGTGGGAGTTGTAGTTTGATTTCCCATTACTGAATAGAACTGCAGGGCTATCAAAAGTAGCAAAAATAGCAAAAGTAACAAAGTCCTAGGTGCCATTACCAGAAACATAGTGTATAATTAAGTACATAACAGGGTAGCAACTCCCGTGCCAACAATTTATGATTCACGTTAATAAAACAAGTAGAACCATTCAAAAGAGCTGTCTGCCATTCGTTACAATAAAAATATCCACCCAAAAACAAGCAAGAATATACAATCAGGATAATAAAGCATATGTTAAACCAAACACACAAACGTTTACCTAGTGACAACATCTTGGCTTTTTACTAATCTGAGGTCCCCTTTTCCAGTTGATACCCATAGGGTATTTCCTTGTCCGTGTGATACAATCTCACCTTTAATCACAGAGTTATCTTTTCTGTTACGTATCCACACCTTATATGGTCTTATATTATCTGGGTTTGGGTCCCCGTCTGCCTGCACATCGATGTCCTTTTGGAATGTTTCCTCAAAGGGTGATCTCCTGTGCAGTCTTTGCCTAGAATTAAGTTCAAAAACTGCAATCAGTATTGCCTTGTCAAATGGCAC